GTAGTGATAGAGCACATTGTGTGCGTCTTGCCACTAAAAGGGCGGCACAGTAAATTCTGGGTCCACTTGTTGTGTATGACATTATCACTGACCTTTCTGGGGTTCTGATTTTTATATTAAATGAAAAGGAGTAACAAAGAGCCTGCCTCAAAGGGTTATTGTGAGACGTATGCTAGATAACTAAAATGATTTGGATATTACCTGGTACCTAGTAAACAGTATATAATCTGTGGAACGTATCTCAGCTGATGGAAAATAAAAACGTAAAATATTAAAACCTTTAAGATGCAGTCAAAGCAGTATTATGAGGGAAGTTTATGAACAACCACATTATACATTTAAAAATACTCAAATAAACAATGTTATTTTAAACTTCAAGTTAGCAGAATAAGAACAAATGGAGCACAAAGTCAACAAAAGACAGAAAATAATAAGATTAGGACGGTCATTAATAAACAGCAGAATAATGAGAAAAAATGTTTCCACTTCCCCCAATACGCGAACAAACCAACAGAAAAGACAAGATCAACAAACCTCTTAGTATAATAAGTTAAAAAGAGAAGAAAATAAAGTCAGAAACTGAAAAGAGACATAACAATAGAAACTTCGAAATGTTCACAAAATCGTAGTGGACAATTTAAACGAGTATGTGACAACAAATTTGATAACAGAGTAAAAGTAAGTACTTTTTTTTACTGACATACAACCTACCAGAACTGAATCAAGAAAAAAAAAAAAAAGCCTGAATGTACCAACAACAACTAAAGTGACTGAACTAGTACTACAAATTTTCCCATCAGAAAAAGCTCAGGACCAGGTAACTTCATAGGTCAATTCTAACAACACCCAAAGAAATAATAATAATTATCATTATCTTTTATTTATTTATTTTTGTCCTTTTTTGAGACCGGCCGCACCGCGCTCAGCCAGTGAGCGCACTGGTCATCCCTATATAGGATCCGAACCTGCGGCTGGAGCGCTGCGGCACTCCCAGCGCCGCACTCTCCCGAGTGCACCACAGGCTCGGCCCTATTTCTTTTCATTCACATGTAATAATTGTACACATTTTAGGACACAGTGTGGTATTTGGATACCTGTATAAAAAATGGAATGATCAAGTAAGGATGATTAGTGTATTCATCACCTTATGTACCATTTTTATGAGTGTGATGGGAATATTCCAAATTCTTCTGGCTATTTAAAACTATAAAATACGGGCCGGCCCGGTGGCGCACTGCTACAGTGCGCCACTTGGGAGTGCGGCGGCGCTCCCGCCGAGGGTTCGGATCCCACGTATAGACCGGTTCCCGCTCACTGGCTGAGCGAGGTGCAGGTGCAGCACCAAGGTTTGCGATCCCGTTGCCGGTCCCGGTCCGGTACGGGCGCGACACTGAGGGTTGCGATCTGTTGCCGGACACGAAAAAAGACAAAAAGGAAAAAAGAAAACTATAAAATACTTTTGTGTTGCCTACAGTCACCCAATACCCATTCTTCTTCAATACTTCCAAAAAATCCATAAAGAAGAAAAATAGAGAGAATACTTCTAAACTCATTTTAGGAGGCCAGTATTGCCCTGACATTAAAACCTAAAAAAGACACTTAAAGAGAACTACAGGAAAATGACCCTAAGATACAGCACTGATACATAAATTCCCCCAAGATATGAGCAAACCAAATTCAACAGCACATTAAAACGGTTATATAAAACCATCAAGTGGGATTTACTGCTGGGATACAGTATTATTCAACATACAAATATTGCTTAATGTGATACAACACAGTAGCAGAATGGAAGATATGGACCACATGATTACCTCAATAATGCAATAAAAAAGCATTTAAAAATTCGGCTTTTGTTCATGATACAAAAAAAATTTCACCCAAATCTGTATAGAAAAACTTACTTTCTTACAATAAAGGTTATATATAGAAACTGTAGAGCTAACATCAAAATCAGTAGGGAGAAACTAAAATTTAAAGGAGAGCAAGTGAGAAGCTTTGCTGTCTCTTGCTCAGCCCATTTGTCATTTGATTCCCTGAGTGTCTGTGGAGAGTCACACTCCCAGGAAATCTCTCACCAGATGGTTCCCTGGACTTTTGACTTCCCAGCCTTTGAAATTGTACTAACAAATTTTATTTCTTTATAAATTACCCAGTTTTAGTATTTTGTTGTAAGTAACAGAAATGGACTAATACACCATTATACAAAACAAACAAAACAAAACCAAATAAAATCCCTACTTGTTGCTTATCTGAAAACCCAAATCCACAGTGTGTGACAGTGCTTGAGTCTCTGCGTGTGTCTCTGCTAGTGGAACAGGAGGTCCCTGAGGGCCAGAACCAGTGTCTGGTCATTTCTGACTCACCGGCTACCAGGGCCAGTGCTCTGTGCCAAGCAAGCAGGGTGTGGCAGAGACGAGTGGTGGTGCTGGTGCTGGTGCCTCTCACAGCCCTGGATGGCTGGAGGGAATCACAGGGCCTGAATTCTACCTCAATGCATGTTTTTAAGCTTTAGTTTACACACAAGTGAGGAAGAAAGTTGACTGTTCACTTGTCCCCTCACTGTTAACTGGACACCTAGGCTGTGCCAGCTGGTGGGTCTGACTGTGATGATTCTGCTGTGAAAAGCTCAGCCCTGGAGGGGAAGCAGACACGACACGGGAGAGCCATGTTGGAGAGAGGAAAATCAGGTGGGAGAGAGAGTGGGTGTTTCCCAGGGTGGGCATCACCTGAGCTGGGTCTCTGGGGCCGGCAAGACTCTGAGGATGAGAGTGTGGTAGTTAAAAGCAGAACAGGAAGGCTCTGGCTGGCATGTTAAAATGGTGGTGATTGATTGATTGATTGATTGCTGAGCGGTGCAGGGATCGAACTGGAGACCTCATTGAACAGGACCACACTCTAACCAATTGAGTTAATTAACTCAGCCCATAATTGGAGATTTTAAACCTGGGGCAGACACAGCTGTGCAGGACGCTCATCTGGACGGTCTTCAAAGAGCCCAGCGAGGAGGAGCAGGACATAAGGAGACCCCAGCAGCAGCCAAGGCACAAGGGGACAGGCGTGACTTTGAGAAGTGGGATGGGAAGGAGAGGCTCATGGCAGGGGCATGTGAGAGTCCAGGGCCAGGCGGTGACGCAGGTTAGGGGAGAAACATGAGGAGGAGCCGTCCAGGGTGACTCTGGGCATACGAGGTAAAGAGGTGGTGACCGCAGCCGTCTGTGCCCCTCACGGCAGCAGCACCCTGCAGGGTCGCGAGGACTGACCTTCCCGAGGGACGAGGCTGCGGCCACGCTGAGCAGGTTCTCTCGGCTGACGACGATTCCTAACCGCGGGCAGCCGGGCCGCCTCCACCTGCAGCGCTGCGGGGTCTGTGGGGACAGCCCGGGAGGAGCGGCCCTGCCTCTCCCTCTCCAGCAGCGACGGCGTCTCTGTGGCCGTGTTCTCTGGGGCTCAATCAGAGCCTGTGCCGAGCGCTGGACGTGCCCGTGACCGGCTCCGGGCGGCGTCGGGCGTCTGTGGTCCTCTCTCCGTGGCCGCGTCTCTCGTCCCGCAGCCTCGGGTGAGCAGCGGCCGTCGCCTGCACCCGGGCCTGTGCCCAGCCCTTCCCGCTGGGCCTCGGCACCGTCCACCCGCGAGGATGAGGTGGTGATGAGCCGTCTCCTCCCCAAAGCCCGGGCTGGGGACGGGGTTGGGTGAGGAAGAGACAGAAGGACCAGAGCGGGTCCCGGGGACGGCGTGGTCTGGAGGGCGGCAGGGGTGGTGGCGTGTGGAGGAGGTGGTGGTGGCACAGGGGCTGGTGGGTGTTGGGTTCAGTGAGATGGAATAAGAGAGACCCGAGACTGGAGCCATTTCATCCAGAAGCTTTATTTCCACTAACGTGGAGGGGACACTGAGCCAGATCATTCCCGAACCAAGGAAAGCAGGTTTATAGGTAAGACTTTTAGAAAGGTTCTGACATAGTAACGGGCAATTTCAACATCAGTGGTGTGCAGGTGACAAAGCCTGTCTGGCCCAGTGACATCTGGTCGGTTTCCAAGACCAAATAGTTAGGGGAGCTGGCCAGTTAGCTCAGCTGGCTACAGTATGTTATGACACTAAGGCTGAGGGTTCAGATCCCGAGCAAGCCAGCAACCCTCCACCCAAAAACGTTCTGAATATCTGCTGCACAATACTGTGAGTATATGTAACACTACTTACAGGTAAAGAAATGTTTAAGGTGGTAAATTTTATCTTATGTGTTTTTTACCAAAATTAAAATTATTTTAATTATTTTAAAAAGCCAATAAAGAATCAAGATGAAATATTTAAAAATTGATTAACAGAAAATAAATTATAAAAGGGGCTGAGCCCGTGGCGCACTCGGGAGAGTGTGGTGCTGGGAGTGCAGCAGCGCTCCCGCCGCGGGTTCGGATCCTATATGGGGATGGCCGGTCACCACCTCACTGGCTGAGCGCGGTGCGGCTGGTCTCAAAAAAAAAAGAAAAAAGAAAAAGAAAAGAAAAGAAATTATAAAAGGAACAACAAATGATGAAAAGGAAAGTGAGACAAATAGAAAACGGCAAACCAAAATCCAACCTGTTAATGATTAGTTCAAATAAAATTAAACTAAATATTCTACTTAAGGCAGAGACTGTCATACCTGATAGGAAAGTGAGACGGAACAGGATGCTACCCACACAGACATACCTTAAACACAAAGTTCACCACCACACAGCCAGCCCTGCAAGAAATTCTCAAGGGAGTCCTGCATGTGGAATCTGAAAAATGATACTCACTACCATGAATACACAAGAAAGAACAAAACCCACTGGTAGAACAAAAATGCAAACGAGAAAGAGAAAAAAAGATTTTTTACCACCAGAAAAACAAAACAAAACAAAAACCGTAATGACAAGGAAACAAACACAAACAAACTCTCAGTCTCTCTGGAAGATGAAAAGGAAACAATTCATTTTTCTAAAACCAGTAAATAGTCAAGAATTTATCCTGTCCTTTCTTTCTTTTTTTTTTTTTTGAGACTCAAAAGAGGAGAATTTTATTATAGTTCGTATGTTACAAATATCTAAGAAACTACTTTCTTTACACCGTGATTGCCATAGACTGGTTATCTTGTTTACAATTTCACATAACTGTAAAGTTTGTGCTTCTCAGCTCTAACCCCTCAGACCCACCATGTTGAGGCCCAGCTTTCTTCTGACCTACAAAGGTCAGAAGTTGCTGATCTTCTGCAGCAGAGTTTGGCGCCGCTCCTCTGGGCTAATATTCTCAGCAATGGACTTTAAGAAGTGTTGCTCATTTACCTTCTGGAGCAAGGAGCTAATAGAAGGGTTGGTCTTGCTCAGAGTTTCATAGCAGGTGAGAATTTCCAAAGCCAAAACATAGAGGGGCTCACAGACCTCTTGGGGCAGCATGGCCATGATGTGCAAAACGTGACAGAACACCTGGGTATAAACAAACAGGGTCTCCTGGGTCAGGTCATGTTCTTGTCCTTGGGCCCAAGGGCCAACTGACTGTAACAATCTAACTGAGTCCAGGACGTTGGTCAGACTGCTACAGAGGAGCCTGACCACATGGCTCCAGCCTTCCATAGGCAGCCAATTACGACAGCTCTGGCTGCAGAGAAACTGGAAAGCTCTCAGGAAAAGTACAGAGAGTTGGAGATCCTGGGCAAAGGGCTTTAGGTTGAGCAGGGGAACAAACTGAATATATTCCAGGATATAAGGGACATGGAGAAGCTGTTTCTCCAGCAGTCTCCTGGTCAACTGGTGAAGGTAATGCCATTCCTGGGGGCTGCACCAAGGCATGACTTGTACCAGGGCCACCAGAAAGCCCTTGCTAAACAATCTGACCTCTTCGGGATTGCCCACATCTACCACCAAGAGAGAGAGCATCTGCTCCG